GGTGGGTACCCCGCGCGACGCGGCGCGTATACGGCCGCGTCGATTTCTTCAAGCGGGGAGAGGTACTGGTGGTTTAAATGGAGCTGTCGAAGAGATTTCAATTCTAGTATTGTTAGTATCGTTAATGTGACCAGTTGACCTGTTGACCATCGATTACAATCAACAGATCCGTCTACTTGTTGCAATTTGGTGGAGCTGTTACCCATTGTTTTCTATAAAATTGTGCTGCGTAAGGGCCTCTCATAGTTTGAAGTGTTCCTAGAATCCTAGGTGTGTTTCTAGAATCCTAGGTGTGTTCCTAGAATCCTAGGTGTGTTTCCTTTCTTTTCTTTTTCTTTTCCTTTTTTTTTTTTGTTTGTTTGTTTGCAAACATTTTCCAAGTTGTCACACATTGCAACATACTATGTGAGATATGGTTAATAGTGTTTGTAGGTGAGGGATATGGTTAATAGTGTTTGTAGATGAGGGATTTGTGGTATCGACCAGGCCTGGTAATTCAAGCCCCATACATCCATCCTCCATCCGATGAGACCCGCACATACAACTTTCTCGCTGCCGGATTGAAAGCTTGCCCAAGAAGATGTTTGAATAAAAAAGGTGGGGAAAACAAGGGTAGGATAATGTTAAACGCACCCCGCCCATGTACCCGAATGATACACACAGGTAATCTTTTGCAAAACAGAGTTCGAATCCCATGCAATCAGACAGAGAAAAAAAAATAAATCCCTTTTTTGGCCCTGTGTGTATCGCCAGGTTACAACGATCTTGAACATACAGCTAAGAAAGAACAATGCACACATAAGGGAGGGAGAGAGAGAGAGAGAGAGAGAGAGAGAGAGAGAGAGAGAGAGAGCATAACACACATGTCAGCCACAGGTGGACCACCCATGAAGGACCCTTGATGACTTATTTGTTCAATTCTGACACAGCCCCAGCTGGTCAGCGCATGGTCACTGACACATCACAGCTTGCATACGTACTGATTCATTTCTGCTCATCCCATCCCCTACCCCCTATTGAGAGCACACACACTAGGACTTTCCTGGATGTAACTGACAGAAACTGCAGCTTTCACTGGATGTATCTGAATGCCATTACGTCCAAAGATGAGTCAAAAAAGTCCTAGTGTGAGTACACCCTGAGTGTCACAGTCCTCAATGACAAAGGTGTCTGTCTCCCAGGCAGCTGTTGCCAACCTGTCATTCTGACTGCCCCCATCCCACACCCAACAACAACGGTATAAGAGAGAGAAGTCAGACAAGAGAGAGAGAGAGAGAGAGAGAGAGAGAGAGAGAGAGAGAGAGAGAGAGAGAGAGAGAGAGAGAGAGAGAGAGAGAGAGAGAGAGAGA